GTGAAATGCACTAATACTGTGCAAATACAAGAGGATTGACATTAATTTTCAATATTTACAAAGAGGAAAAATATATTAGGAGTACACAGATTGAGTCAGAATGTGTCTCTCCTGAATCTATACCTTTAACAGAGAGGGACTGAATGATGATAAATAAAGCCACGCCCTAAAAATCCTTCAGTCAAACAGAAATGAAGTTCAGTTCCACTGAGGTAAACTATCACTTTCCAAAATACCCATCAAACAGCAAATTTCAAGGCATGGAAAGGTAAAGGAAGTATGAGAGAACGGAGAAAGAAACGAGAGAGAGAGAGAGAGAGAGATCCCTGTCTGTGGTCTGCCCAGCAGGAAATAAGCCATCTCTATGGGCTACTCGAGTGACACACGGTATCACTGACATTATGGCATTATATTTCTTTATCCTTTTTTTTTTTTAAACAAAACTAAGCTTTTTTTTTTGTTGTTTTGTTTTTTTAAATATATAGATATATATATATATATATATACTCATATAAGTGATACTGTACAGCTCAGAAATATATATATATATATTTTTTTTTTTACAATCAAGAAATAGATACAATTTGTATCAACAAGCAAAAGGTCGTTTCTGGACATTTGATGTGTTGGTAGCTTGCTGTTCAACTGCATGGGGGTCTGAACCTCGGAGCATAAGCAGCAGACAGTAATGTAACTTACCAGAAATTAGTTTCTAGATTGCTCTAGAACAGTGATGGGCAAACTTGGCCCTTCCAGGCCACTTTCCTGCAGAGATTTGGTCCAACCCTGATAAAACTCACCTGCCTGTAGCTTTCTAGTAGTCTTGAAGACAATGATTAGCTGGTTCAGGTGTGTTTGATTAGAGTTGGAGCTAAACTCTGAAGGAAAGTGGCCTGGAAGGGCCAAGTTTGCCCACCCCTGCTCTATAAACACCTCCTTCAGGATTTTTTGCTCCTAGGTTCAGAGGAGAAGGAAAAATGGAGAAACCCAACCGTAAAAACATTTCAATCTCAAACAAAAATATAAATTTAGGCCTGAAACATACGCTGTAAGTACATGAATGATGCTAAAGGTGCAGTCACATTAGCGAAAGTTTGTGGGCAAAAAATGTCTATTGTCAGTCTACGTGACCAACTTGAACCAGTTGCGAAATCTCTGTGGGGAAATCTATTGCCCTCAAGTAAATTCCCAATCCTGTGGATTCCTATTTAAATGGCTGCATTTAGCCTGCAAAAATTTGCCAAACATTAAATGTGACCACAACTTAACACTTCTAGCTGGATTTCACGTCATTGCATTCCAAAATATGTCACAATTCATAACACAACAGAACTGCAACTTAAAATAATAATTTTATAGTAGATTTTTGACAGTTCTAGATTTTCTGAAAGCTAAAAGTGTGAAATGGGATATTTTATCATCTGCTGCCTTTGATGTCAGTTCAAGACGGACGCTACGGAAGGATTTAGGAATGTGAACCTTCTTGTGATGCTATTAGCCAATAAAGTTGTCATGATGTCATTGATCAAGCATTAGTGCCTACAATTATGTACTTGCATAAATATGTTTCTGGCCTAAAATGTGTAAATAATCATAAAAAAGAAAACATTTTAAAATATTTTTGAAAAAAAAAAATCAGAGATTGTAAAAAGAAAAAAAAAAAATCATTAATGGCCTTCTGGAAGAACCTTGTTGAAAAATAAAACTAAAGGGAAGGAGAACCGTCCATATTCGTATTAGAGAGCTGAGAGGTTGGGTTTTGTGTCCAAGTCGAAGCAGGGTCAGGGGCGGTAGAGAGGCAGCAAGCGAACTGTCAGCCAAATGTCAGAAACAACCCAACAACAGCCTGGTGTTCCGTGTGTGTCGCACAGGAAGAGACAGGTAGGCAGTGTGTCACACCTTCCCATGAGCAGTAACGGGGCCCTACGGGGCCACTCCTGTGCTCATGAAAAAAAATGAAGGAGCAATTTAAGTCTCTTTTTAAAACACCCAGAGCATCTCTGGACCAATAACATTCACGCTCTCCTGAAAATATGTTAACTTACAGGGCGGAGCAGATGAAATGGGGTGGTCTCTCGGCATCAATCAGGAAATAGATGCTGCACAAGAGCATTTTGCCGAAGAGACGCATTCTCCTCCCCAGTTTGTGAATACTTGAGCATAGTTATCGACTAACGAGCCAAACGTGAGCAGCGCTCTCTGTCAAGCATAGTGCTAACATGCTGTCTGGGAGAGATTTACTGAAGCCCATGCTTACTCAAACATCTCTCTTAAAATCTACAATACAACAACAACATTTAGCAAATACATATGAATAATATCTTCTCCAACTAGACATACCTAGTGCTTTCAGATCAGGAAAATGTACACTGATTTTCTGTTTGGCTCAATCTTTTAAAATGGCTTCGTAAATACGTATCCGTGCATGTGTGCGAACAGATGTTGCAGGGCCGGTTTGCAGTTACAGCCCAGCCAATTAAAAAGTCTGAACTGCAGCACGGCAGAATCTAAATCTTTCTGTCCCAGTGCTCGCTTTTATAAAACAAATGCAAAACAGCGACCTCCACAACTATTAAGTACTATTCACATTAATGTGTGGTGAGGTCGCTCCGATGTAAGGCCATAAAAGTTCAAAGGTCATGCTTTGAGGTACGCAAGCGTTCATTCCTAATCTTTCCAAAATCACACATCAAGTCATCACGCACACCGAAAAACCACACCACGGTGTCACGTCATATTTACACGCAAATGCAAGTGAATACACATATACATACACAATACTATTCATATTGTGCAGGATCATTTCTGATCGGTTTTACCAAAGAGATTTCTCTCATGTAACTCTTTTTCAAAGGATAAATGTTATCATCACCAACGAAATAACACATTCTCAAGATCTGCCATCAAACTGGCAGGCAGTTGCTCTCTCAATGTGGATACACTTTTGAGCCGGCTTTATGAACAACCTTAAGAACTTTTTGGCCCATCTCAGGAGCTAAACGGTGGAGAAAGCAGGACCTTTTTTATGAGGGATCTCACGTTTCTATGCTAAACTTTTCAAGGTACAAGATCCAGGCTCCCATATGGCTTAACAGATTACATAATAACCAATGCAGCATCAATGCTATCATGCTAGCCAACCTCCTAATGGATCCAATCCAATCATAATTACATATGGGGGCTGGCTGTTTCTTCAGAGTGAAACAAAATACGAAATTCTCAAGGCGTCCAATTTCTCATTCACTAGGATATCTAAATATTGTGGTGTTGTTGTTAGCAGCCTTAATGGCAAGAGCGCAGTTTAGTGACGATGACGGCAGCCAGCTGCTGGGGATCAGTCATGTGAGGGTTCTCCTCCATGACCAAATGGACCACATATGCCGGGAAGATGTTACAGAGGTTTCGGTAGGTTTGAAACTGGTGTTCTGGAATAGGGTGCCGCTCTTGGGGTTCCTCCGCTGGCCCACGAGCACTGGGCGGTGGAGGCGGCACGCTATCCCACGGGGACCTCCAGATCTGCTCCATCTTCTCGGGCATGCTGCGGACCATCACCCTTTCACAGCAAGGCATAAGGCCTCCCGTTAATCCATAGCTTCCATAACTGTAGGGCTCATTACCACACGGCAAAGGGTCCCAGCTGGCATGCTGCTCTCGGCAAAGAGGAGGTCTCCTTTGGCGCAGCGGGTTGCTCTCGTAGAGCCGTGAGTCAGAGATGCTGTCCATTCGAGTCATGCCTAAGGATCGACCGTGCTGTGAGGGGCTGGCAGAAGGCAACATGTTCTGGGAGAGAGGAGGGTAGTCTCCTGGGCAGCTGGATCGAGCGCCAACAACTGGGTGTTGGGTGTGTGGCGCAAGGTGGGCGGAGGACTGCTTTCGAGGACCCGGTTTGGGTTCATCCGTTCCGTAGCTCTGCACACGTGTCAAGGCCTCATGGTGGAAACCGTGAGCAAAGGCTTGAAGGCGCGTTTGCGCCGAAGGTTGCATCTGGGTCTGCGAAGGTGGCCCTTTCATGCTGTCGTCCAGGCTGCCCTCCAATGAGTTGAGGTACATCTCTCCACTGTAGGACGAGAAGGAGTCTGACGAATGACTTCGGCCGGGTTCTGGGCACATGCTGGCTCTGCCAGGATATCCTCCACCCACCCCTACAGGCTCTGGCTGTTCAAGACTGCAGAAACTGTCTTGGAGGCTGATGGTGGAGAAGTCACTGAGCATGGAATAGTATCCATGGTCGCTTACCACAGAGTCGTACTTGGGGAATGGCTCACCGTAAGCCACAGATGCGCCCTGGCTATTGGTGACTAGGATGGGGGGATACTGGACGCTGCCTGCGTGTTCAAGTGAGCTGTGGGTAAAGTGCAGAGACCCTGGAACAGGGCTGCTTGCTGAGCGTGTGTTTAGAGCGCCTGCTGCGTGGCTTTTCGTCAGTGGCATAGTTGGAACGCTAAGCGCTGAAACTAAAGACGGTACAGAACTGGCCTCAGCCTTCCGCATTGGACAGAGTCTCTCTTCTTGCTCACATGCAACTGACCGGATACTGGGGTCAGACTGGCGCTTGGGTGCCACTCGCTTTGCCTCTGAGCTACTGTCTCCCTTGGCAGCAGAACCAGAGGTCCCACATTTGGCAAGTGCCCCCTCGCTCATTGTCTTTACGGCAGAGAGTTTGGCAAAGGCTCTGAGCTCATCTGCGACAGCCCGTTGTGGTTGGTTGGCTCTTTCTGGGTGGTAGTACTTGCACTTATGGCCGTACGTGCACTTCTTACCTGTGATAAAACCAATAGTGGTGGTTGAGACAAAAAAAAAGTTACTTCTGTGTTTTTTAAAATGGTAGCACTGATTGTTTTTTTAAATAACAGTATACTGAAAATTATTTTTAAAAATCCAACTGGAAAATCCATAGTTTGACAGTGCATGAAAAACGTATCAAATATATTTATCTTCTTTTATATTACAGTGTTGATACAGCAAAAATGGATATTTGTAATATGCTGTGATGTTCTGGAATAAAGACAAATTAATTTCCTACTTTTGCTGTACTGACCATAAGGACACGGCTGCTTCTTGTGCTCTGGAACCACTGGTCGTTTACGGAGAAAATTTTCCAGACTGGGTCCGTGTCTCCCTAAAGGATCATCAGGAGGCATGAACCTACAAATCAATCCAACAGACACAAATAAGCACAACTCTATGATAGGAATAATGATTTAAATCTAAAATGTATTTAAATATGAACGTTATCCTTATTTATATTATAAATATGAGATTAATAATGTTATACATTATACAGAAGTATGGTAGAATATTTCTGTCCAAAATTATTTTTTGCGGCCATTATGCAAATATTAAAATAAAGTGAAACTGGAGCACTCTGCATTCACAATGTATGTTAAAGCATCATTAATCGTTTTGTGATGTGAACCACCACAGATGGTGTATGTGCATGACAAAGCATTTATACTGAACTACATACTGCATCAGCAAGTGAGACAAAAATGCCCATTTATGGCATTTCTATATTCACTTAAAATGACTTTTTTTGGGATAGCAGTGTGGCTTAAATCACATATAACTGGGAACAGGCATACACAACAGGCCTAATCATGGGACCTCATCACTGGAAATCAAACTTAAGCAAATAAATCGGTAAATTAATTAAAGCTTATTTACAAATAGAACAACTGACTATAGAGAGTTGAAACAAATGACAGAGCAATAAAAAGTGAAAGAAGAAAAAGAGTGAGAGGAACGCCATACGGGTGGTGAGGGTGGTAAGCACAAGACAATTTATTGAGAGAGAAAACCCCGTCACCACGGTAACTGTGTGCGAGCATACTTGTCATTGACGAAGCTGTACATGAGGAGTCGTTCCTCAATAAATTTCTTCCACTCCGGTTTCTCATTCTGCAAGTCTCGGTAGTTATCGTTGGACACAATGATCCCGTCTGAGTCGCAGGCCAGCTTGACGATAAAACGGTCATCGTAGCAAACCACTCGCCGGCCTTGGACTCTGCGAGACGGTGTGAAGACAAGGATCTTTTCCTTCTCTAATTTCCGTAGGATCTCCTGATCTGAGGATGAGGGTGACATCACACATCATCACTTCCTGTGACCTCATGCACAGACATACGCAAACTTGTATAAACATCACAGCACAGATGGACGATCTCACTGGACACATGGCGGCTCCTCAGAGAAGTTCATGCAGGCAAATAAAAATGGCTTTTGATGGTAACACACACAGTGAAAAGATCTACTGTATCTAACAACATACAGTAAGGGTCAAAAGTCTAACCTATTTTAAGCCTGAAAATAAACAACATTTTGGAATTTTAAACATTTGTAAATAAAGAAACATTATGAAATATAATGATTAAGAATACTTCTAGGTCGATAATCAAAGGCGGTGAATCTGTGACACTGATCATGTGAACTTTGTAAAACAAAAAAAGGTCATTTTTGTTTGTCTCGGTTGAAGCACAAGATGCTATTTGGATCATTCTCAAATCATGATTGAGAATATGATTCATCAGGTTTTACACAAATTTGTGGAGTTCATGCAGCTTGAGAGCTGCTTTTCTTTGATCAAAAGAAGGATGAACAATACTAATAAATTCAGAAAATAATTTTCAATTAAACTTTTCACTCAAATTGATATATTTAATAATATATACATTAAATTAACATTAACATAGAAGCAATTTATTTGGTGGTCTCAGATTTTTAGACCAATTGGAAATACACAGACACATACTCGCACTTCAAGGAAGTGTTAACTCATCACAGAAACATTTTCTGCGTGTTTTTTTTTTTTTTTCATTTTTGTGGTACCTTTGATTGGTGCATCAGGTCTCGACTGTTCTTTCCTCCATGCTGGGACAAAAACTGTGATATCTTTGTGGCCCTTCTCCAGGAACCAATCAACAGCCAGTTGAATGCCCAGGCATGAGAACACCTCTTTGTTTCCATGGCTACAAAATAATATTACCAACATCAAATTACACACAGTTCTCTTACTGATTGGACTTTTCTCAATACTACGAGCATTTCAAAACAGGAACATAAAGATCATTTCACCAAAAGACTTCCTGCAACAGCGTAAATTCCAGAAGTAAACAACAATAGTGAGAATCTGATGACTCTCTAGTTCACAGTTCCCCAGGTTCTGACTAATTCTCTCATCAACATGTTATCAGTCCAGAGCCTCTAAGTCACCATGAAATCAAAACCGACTAGGGATGCACTGTATATCAGCCAATATGATTTTGGTATCATTGTTTGTTATCTAATTGTGCAATGCTTCATTTCTTCTATTTTTACATTTAGATTACCTTTGCCATCATCTAACGCTCAAATAAAGGGAAACTCTAAAAACACTAATAATTTAACCCTAAAAGGGGCGACGTATCCTGGGGGATACAGACATTTGAGAATCTCTGGGGAGAAGCAGTGAAAGCGTAGGTCTCATTTCTTGGTTTCATCTTGAAAGGGTGTTTGTTGTGAATATTTAGATGAGGTGACTTTTGTTTCTCCATTCTTTGTTTAGCTCACGGGCAGCATTTAAACCAGCATGGCCGCCTGTGGTGGGAAATCTACTTACCCTCCGATAAAAGTTGATCTAGTTCACATATTTACACACGTTGGAGGGGACTTACCTGTTTAAAAAGCTGTTGTTCAGCATTAGCTTATTAGGTTTACATTGAAATTTTATAAATTAAATGCTTATATTTTCTGTAATCGGTCTCTAAATGTTTGTATCTCAGGGGATACGTCGCCCTTTTAGGGGTATAAATCAAGATATAAAAACATATATATACAGTGGTGTGAAAAAGTGTTGGCCCCCTTCCTGATTTCTTATTTTTT